GGTGATTGTTCCGAACTTTGAGCCATAAAAAAACACTAGTTTCCAAAAGTTAAGGTTGCACTACATTTATTCATATTATAATCCAAAGATGTACATTCAAGATTAAATATAGAACAAATATCACATAAATAACTGTATACCTTATAATAATAATGGTTGCCCCTCGTGTAACGAGGATGGCTGGCCCTAGGGCCACGGGGCCACCTACGCGTGAATTTGTTTAAGGTGTAGAAGCTGTCGCCAACACAACAACCACACCCTAAATTAACGAGCTGCTTGACCCAGTGTCAAGGAATAGTCCGAGAAGACCGAAAAACTTGCCAACTGCACTGGCTAACCATTACCCCGGAATACGACCCACAAATCGATTAACATCCAGGTCCCAATTACTGTTGGGTAGGCAGAGGCAAATGGCGTGAAGAAACTTGCCCATAGGGTGAAACTGTATGGTAATGCAGTGGAAGCGCCCCTTGGAGAAAAAACCCGAACCATCACAAACACACTTAAATTACTAAAAAAAAATAATTCTCCATGACCCGTGGAAGGATAGCACCTGTGATTGGGGTGAATGAGACAAACTGTAAAATCTAGACATTTCTATTCCCTCCAACACTACAGACACAATCAATAATGGTACACCAACATATGCGCACCTCTTAACCTGGCTTACAACACTACTCTGGGGAATAAAAGTTATACATGATATTGAAATTATTAGAAACTTAGAAAATGGCTCTTTAGAAAAACAACAATTTCAAATTATTAAGAAATGTTGCTTGCTCACATGAACAGGCCTTAAGAGCTTTCAACAAAATAAAATCACTTCACTGAGAAAATGGTGTAGTAGGGTGTGTCATAGGATGGAAGCTCAGCTAAAACTAATGGCCCATCACTTTTTTGGTAGATTTTAGTGTATATAAGCAGAAAATAATTTCAGTTTCAATATTTTGCAACCTTTTGCTAGGTAAATTTTAGCGTGAAATTTATCGAAAATCTAACGTACAGCTGCATTAGTGCATTACAATTAAATAGTGAACATTGCATTCTGACTTCATTCTTTAACAACCCAACTAACAATATTGGTTTCTGTTTCAGATTCTGATGCATTTATAAGTTGATAATATTTGCGATGGCTGCTTGTGTCAGGACGAGGAACCAAAAATCCAGCCATCTCAGTCACTATCTTGGGTCTGGGAGAGAGCTCCTGAAGTCGGAGTTGCCTACATTGAGAGATGCTTTGAGATACGGTGTTTTAATCAGGCAAATCAGTGAAAAGAACCAAGAACTTACACAGCAAGACATTGCCAGTGATATGACCAAGCTGTCTTGGCACAGTACACTCTGGCTAACGCTCAGTTCAAGCCTCAGTCATAACAAGTCAGAAGAAGATTGAGTGAGACTGCTCGCCAGTTGGGAAAAGGCAAAGTATCTCTCTCTGGAAACTTTTTGTAAAGGACTTTGCCAAGCAACAACTGGAGATTGCATATATTGCTGCAGTGCCCAATTGTTCTCTGTCCTGGTTTGGATGCGATCGTGACTGTAAATCAGGGCCCACATCTCCTGCATTTGCAAGCGTGAACTGAGATTCCTGTGATCGAACTGGCATTTGTCAAAGCACAGAGAGAGAAGACTGGCAGTATAAGGGCTCTCATGATTTCTAGCCAAGATATTCCGGAGTCCAAGAGACAGGAGGCTGCCACAGAGAGACAGAAGAGGAGAAGAGTTGCCGAGGAAAAGAGACTTGAGAAGGCCCAGGGTGAGGTAAAAAAGGCCGATGATTGGAGTCAAGCTGATTCAGAGTTTAATGACTTCCCCATGGCTGATCCGAGTGCTGACCAGGAGAATGGTGACTTTGTCCCTAACCCAGAAAATAATGATCCCAAACCTTCCAGGCATAAGATTCGAAATAGGAAAGATATCCCGAGCATAGCTCTGGTCAGCATGCGACACCACACTGGTCTCAGAGAAACTGCAGAGATAACAACAGCTGCCTGGATTGACGGTGGTTTGATAACACCTGATGATGTTCACCTGGTGATAGATCATAACAAAGTAAGGAGAGCTCAGGAGAAACTTGTCAGTAACCTAGAAGAGGAGTTTGATAAGGGGATAAGAGAAAATGGAATCAATTGTTTGTTCTTTGATGGAAGAAGGGATGACACTAAAGTGTTCATGAAAGTTGGAGATTCTGACAAGTTGTTCCTTGCCATGGTGAAGGAGAACACTACTCCTGCTGCAGTGAACCAGGAGGGAAGTATTTGTGGCATTTCCTCCAGAGAAAGATGACATCAGGAAACCAGCTGAGATAGTGGCAGATAACATTGTGAACTGGCTCAGAGAGAGGAACGTAGACCAGACCCTGCAGGCCATTGGAGGGGACAGCACCAACACGAACACAGGGTGGCAAGGGGGGTCATACAGTGGATAGAGCGGATGATTGGGAGGAAGCTGGTCTGGATTGTTTGTGACCTCCACACCAACGAGTTGCCACTCACATCTGATCCAGGAGCTGGATGGCAAGACTCTTTCAAACAACAGATGGTCTGGTCCTCTTGGCAAGATGCTGGACTCTGCCACTGAGTTAGAAATAAATCCGAGCTTTGAAAAAATCACAGTTGGCCCTCCACTCGTTGAGCTTGCGCCTGTCGTGACGACCCTGGTGCTGACCAGTACTATGGTTACATGATTTGCAGATGCCATCAAAACTGGGGTCATGCCTGATAGACTTGCTTACCTGCAGATGGGGTCCAGTCTCATTCTGGGTAGCTCACAACGGCTCTCGGTTCTGCAGAATTTGGGTCCATATCATAGCTGAAAGGAACCAGCTTCACAACCTGAGACTTATTGTCAATTCATCGTGAGTGTCTGCTGCCAGTGGTTCAACACCAAGGTCAAGTCATCGTTCTCCAGGTCAGGCGCATGTTCTCTTCAGCTTGAGCTCCTGAGAGTCAGCCAAGGAAGGTTGTTCAGATTGTGGGCAGACTGTGGGGAGATCTTTACATTATGTCATCCGAGGCATAGCCAGAATCAGTTGGTGACGATTCCTTCAGGGTCAGGAAAACTCCTGAAGTCAATCTAGGTGCCAAGACCCTCACTGATCTCATAGATCTGGATAACATCCAGGCTGGCAGTGAGCCCCCTCTTACCTGCAGCCTCACCAATGTTCAAGTCAGAGCTTTCCTGGACAACCCCATGCATGTCCCTGCCTGGCCCTCGCACACCCAGAGTATAGAGCGTTGTGTACAGCAAGTGAGCGAGGCCAGCAGTCACATGTACAGCCAGGAGAAGAGGGAAGGCTACATCCGAGCTCAGGTGGTCAGCAGGGAGGTGATGAGTAGAAACAGAAGCAAGAAAGACATGTTCTCTATGGTGTGCAGCAACACCGGGTCGTAGTAGTAAAACCGGTTTTTGTATTTGATGATTTTGTTTTCTAAAGGAATATTAAATTTAATAAATGTGTCAAGATCATTCGATTCACTATTCTGGATCATTTTCATCCTAATAAATTAACCTGATACATTTACTTTACTTTAAATAAGCTATTTAGTGGTGTTGGTAAAGGGTGGGAGTCTTTGAATTTTCTGAATTTCAAGTTAAAGTACTAACAACTTTTCAAATCTGAAGATATCACATGATTCTGCACATAGAACTACATCATTAATACCATGGGCCGATTTTTCAAACTCAAACAAAAAAAATTCGCCTCCGTATGACACACTCTAATGGTGTAGGAAATAAGAAATTATTAACTCCACCATGAATAGGCCTTAAGGGCACTCAACAAAATAATGGTACACCAACAGATGCACACCTCTTAACCTGGCTTAAGACACTACAGTGGGGAACAAAAGTTATACATGATATTGAAATTATAAAGAAATATTAAATGCATCTATCAAAAATATTTAATAAATATTAACTACACACAGCAAGACAATATCAGACACTGAAAAAATAAGGTCGTTGAACAGGCTTTGTGTGAAATATAACAGAGTCTAGAACTGCTTTTAGTATCCTGGTGGTCCAAGGTAGCATTCCCCGGTCACAGTCATGGGCTCGTGGGCCGTGGGTTCGAATCCTGGCGGGTTGAGGTGTTGATTGTATGTGGAAGTCCGCGTGCTTTATTGGGCTAATGAAATATAGATATATGCTGATAACCACAAGGAAAGAAGAAAACACGAAGTTCCCAAGCGCTTTCGTGTAATTCACATCTTCAGGGGTGAGTACAGACTAGAGAGAGAAATACAAATCAAGATGTATATATACAGAGGAGGGTGAGACCAGGTCCACAATGGTCAGGTATTAGGTAATGACCCTACTAATCTTTAAGTAGCACACAACGGTTGGTGGTCAGGTCAGATGGTCAGGTGACCCGGCCTTCTCACCTGGTCACAAATCTTCTTAACTACAAAATTGTCCAGCTTGTACATGCCGTTACTCAAATTTATGTTGAATGCTTCGGTATGTTTAATAAGACAAGATTCATGATGTTCCTACTATAAATTGAATTACATGGTAATATTGAGGAGGCATTATCCCAGTCAATGCAATGCTTGTTATCCCTCAAATGAACAAACAGAGCATTGGATTCCTGGCCTGTCCTAACTTACTGTTGTATTTAACATTCTATTGCAGATCTTTACCTGTCTGGCTTCATTGAAACATGTACATTCCTTGCAAGGAACTTTATAAATGCAACCAATTGTGTTGTTGGGGGAGTTCTTGATAATCATTTGTTTAACAGTGCATGAGTTTTTAAATCCCACATTGACGTTCCTTCACAACTAAAAACCTGGAACGTCAATGTGGCATTTAAAAACTCATTTCATTTAGTCTATGCCTATATCAAGATAAAAGTCACCCCTGATTTAGCTACCTGAGTGTGATGGACAATGATAACTTTGAGGATTTGATATTGACATAAACTTACAGACAAGAGTTCCTAATGATTATGTGATGTTGGTTATGATGTGGAATATACTGAAAGTGCTATAACATGTTCACTGGTGCCTGTAGCAGAGAACAATGAAGGTGACACCAAAGATAAACACGATAGTGGGGAAGATGATGATCCTGTATACTGCCAGGAATTTGGGGGACGTTGCAACACTGGAAGGGTGAGTGTTCTCCGAGACAATTGGGTCCACTACCGTTAAGGGTTTACTCACTCTCCTGAACCACGTGTCGTCCGTCGTCAACGTTATAAAAATGTGTATCATAATGTTTATGAAGAGAAGAACAATAATGAATAAGAACCAAACGTCAATGAGTTTGATAGTCGCGGTGGCAGGGAGGGTGCGCGAGGTGTTGGAGAAGAGGGTGTAGAGGACGAGGAGTGTGGTGAGGGACATGATGGCCCGCACGTTGAGGGCCTCCAGCTTGATGAAGAGTGTGGCCCAGCTCACCAGCAGCAGCAGTACTGACGGCAGGAAGGTGGCCAGCACGATCACTCCCTGACGACGGTGCAGCTCAAACTCAACGGTTAACCAACCACCGTCCTTAACCTCCCCGAGCCTCACATTGTAGATAATATACGAAGAGAGCTCTTTAGGTCCCGCATAAAGCACACTCCTCTGGGTGTCTGAAAACTGTACATAATCTTCATACGCTTGAGGGAGTCGGATGTTGATACTACACAGCTGGACGTCAAACGGATAGGCGTAGAGCTCGAAAGCACAGATGAACTTGCCGGTGTACTGACGGGTTTGAGTGAGAGGGTTGTGGCTGCCCGGGTAACTCACATCTGGTCACAACAAAGAAGAGTACTGTCAGCCATCCTCCTGCAAGCCATTTTCCTGTCAGCCATCCACCTGTCAGTCATCCTGCTGGTATCCTTCCTCCTGTCAGCCATCCTTCAGTCAGCCATCCTCCTGTCAGCCATTCAGCTGGTATCCTTCCTCCTGTCAGCCATTCAGCTGGTATCCTTCCTCCTGTCAGCCATCCTCCTGTCAGCCATCCTCCTGTCAGCCATCCTGCTGGTATCCTTCGTCCTGTCAGCCATCCTCCTGTCAGCCATCCAGCTGGTATCCTTCCTCCTGTCAGCCATCCTCCTGTCAGCCATCCTCCTGTCAGCCATCCTCCTGCCAGCCATCCTCCTGCCAGCTATCCTCCTGTCAGCCATTCTCCTGCCAGCCATCCTCCTGTC